CATTCCTGATCTACAGTTCATTAAATCCCTTCTTTGTGATTACCCACTTAAACATTTCAGAGAAGATTAATGGTGGTCAGAATCAATCATCCAGTTGTCACGAATCAGGATTTACAATAACTCATAAATAGTGACTTTGTTTTTTTTTTTTATTCCTACTAAGGGTGCATTACAAATTAAAATGACAAGGGGACATTATTTTCACACCAAAGCTAGCACAGAAAAAGAAACTGCAGTTCAAAACATTGGAACATTAAACTCCAAATGTCGGCTCATATAGGTCAGATATTTTCCTCATCTTCAAAACCTCCAGACCAAGCATGCACTTCTGATGATGAATCACCAACAGGATGTAAAATTATGCACATTTGAAATTTGGATGGCTAATACGGCTGAAAGAGAAATGAAAAGAATGACCCTTTTAACTTAAAGGTTAACATCAATCGTCTAATTTAACACAGACTTGTATTAGATTTATCTCATCTGGAGAAGGCTAGAGTGCCTATTCACAATGATCAATGGCCAATATCAGCAGCAGCTATGTATACAGCACATACATTAGTTCTATGTGTTTCAAATAAAACAGACATATATCTAGGATCATATATACTACACAAATATAGATTCTTTGATTTTCTCGTTTACTTTTGAGCAATGAACACAGAAACGTCAACAGCAAAACTTTAAGAAAGTCATTCTTCCATGAGAGTTATCCAACGAGATAGAGTCCGGGTGTTAGGCGGCGTCTCTGCTGGCGTCGACCAGACGTCTGTAGAAAAGGTGCTCCTTCTGCTGCCGTTGTGACTGGTGTTTATAGTGGCTAGTAATAATGTGCTAAGTGCAAGAGCAGAAGTGGCGAGAAAATGAGGAGCAAACTGTGCTGTCCGCATGGTAGAGTTCAGGGTTGTGATCAGTGGGTGGCGAAGGGAGTAAAACAGGCAATCTTCTTTTTTCTTTTTTTCTTTTTTTTGATCCTCTGTTTGCTTTCGAAGCACACAGCTGGGCCAACATCGTGGAGCAAATCACGACTGTTCTTAAATTATAACAAGGCATCCCTCACCAGGCCACACGCCAGAAGCAGGACAGCAGGTCCGGAGCTGGACAATAGTCTTGTACCTGGGAAGAGACGAATAGAGGACAGAGGAAATCAGCAACTATGAGGTTAAGCAGTAGCTAAAAAAACCTGTATTTTTTATAAATAATGATTTTGAAATAAATATTGTTAAAAGCGTTGCTCTAATAAAGAAGAAAATATAACCTTGGAAACCATGTCTTCATTTCATGTCTGTTTCCCAGCTAGGTGCTGTTACTTTAAACAACATGGCTCATTTAAAACTCCTTGGATCTGAAGCTTCATACATTCTGGAACTGTTTGTTTGAGACATTTTCCATGTGACAGTCAACATGATAGGTTTTGTTCATCAGAGTGGACAGATGTCACATGTAGCATTTAATCCAGGGTTTAATCCTGGGACCCTCCTATTTAATATCTACATGTTCCCACTAGCTCAGGTTATAGTGAGAAATAAGATTAGTTATCATGACTACACAGATGATACACTTCTATATATTACAAAGTAACTCTGAACCCAGCCAATCACTGAACAGATGCTTAGAACAGGTAAATTTGTGGATGTGCCACAACTTTTTCAAGCTGAACAGAAACAAAACTGAAGTTATTATCTTTGAACCTAAAGAGGAATGATCTAGATTTGGGCTGAAATGATTCCTTGAATGATTCGAGTACCTCGGTTATAAAAACTCCTCAAGGAAAGTGTATCTGCCTCGAAGCCTTGTTAAATTATGTTTCATTATGTAGTGCACCCTGTTTCGCCCGGATCATTACTTGTGGGGGGCAGCGCTCTTACTTCTGCCTATGAGTTGTTGCATTGTGAGCCGTTTTGTCAGGGTTTGGGAGACAAATAAGGATTGTTGAACTTTGCGGTCTGATGGATGAACTATGACAGCTTTTCTGGTGTTGGAATTGCATCGTCAAGGTTTTGGAGTGAACGGTAGGAATAGCGCTGAGAGAGAGAGAGATCGAGAGAGATCCGATTCCTCGGATAATCGTAAACATATTCTATAGAATACCCGATTTCTAAAATATTCTTTTACAACAGCCCTAATAGAGTCAACACACAGCTTCAGTTATTACAGCAAAAAACAGTGATCAGGCCTGAAACCTGGGAGTATGAGCTCTAACCTGAACTTTCAGAGCCACATCTATCTATCGCTTCAAGAAAATTTCCAGGATTAGAGGACTAATATCTCTGTGAGATCTAGAGAGTCTCATCCATTTGTTTATCTTTAGTCGCATTGATTACTGCAACAGTGTGTTCACGAGTCTGATCAGCTGATCCAGAACGCTGCTGCTGGTGTTCTCACTAAAACTAGGAAGATGGAGAACTACAGCCCAGATCTAAAGTCCTTCCACTGAGAGAACAGACTTTAAAATACGGTTAGTTTATAAATCACTGAATGACTTACCACCACAATACATTAAAGATTGCTCTTGTTGTATCAACCTTCCAGACCTCTCAGGTCTTTTGGTTCTGGTTCTGCTCTGCATCAGAACCAGAACCAAACGAGGAGAAGTAGCATTCAGCTTCTATGCACCACAAATCTAGAACAAATTTCCATATAACTGCAAAACAGTTTAAATTCACATTTGTTTGGAGTTGCCTTCAGATATTATTAATGAACATCATTCATTCCAACTTCTCATTACATTGCTTTATTTTTGCCACTGTTTTGTTTGTTGCATTATGTTTTGTCGTAAAACATCTTGAGCTGCCTGGTTGTTGAAATATGCTCTGCAAATAAGTGTACCTTGCCTCACATCTTTCAGGGAGACCTGGACATCTGACACCTTCTGCCAGATGTTTTAAACCAACCATGTATCAATTAATACTCAATCATGAGGAGGCCTAATTGTCTATGTTCTGTTATCTGCATGAGTAAAACCACCAAAACTGGCTCCAGCCCAGATCCAATCCCCTCATCCATCTATCAATTTTCTGTTGATTTAATTCTGTATGATCATTCATGAATATTGATTATAACTTCATTGGATGAATGAACTTGACTTTTATGTATTCTTTTTAAAACATGTTGTTGACCTGGAGTTTAACTTAACTTCATTTTGTCTTTTTCAGGCCACAACCTCCCACTACCCCCTTCAGCCACTCTACATTCACATAAAGGAAGTGTGAGCAACACTGAAGGCATCATACAATATTTGACAATCAAATAAGCACAGAAGATAAAAATTATTTTTAAAATGATGTTTTTCTCTGGCACCCCAGTTGCTCTTAAGTTGACAATCTTGCTCCTCATGATAAAAAGCTAATGGAATGCATAATAAATGGTCATAAAAATGTAGATTTGTCTTTTCTTTGACTTAATATTGCAGCTTCATTGTACATTATATTACCCAGAACAACACCTGAAGCTACATAAAACTCAATCCATATTAGTTCTGAACCATCCTGTTCTTTTGGTTATGTGAGAATATCCTCAACATAAAAGCTCTACAGGAACCACTGGTGAATAATTGATGCTTTTTGCTGTTTCACTAAACAGACTGGTGCTGCTTTATGTGTCCTTCTTCTCTGCATTCAGATTTTTAGACTAAACTCTAGTCACTTCTGAAGATGTTGGATAAACAACACAAGCAGGTAGTCATGGTTACATGTGATTTTCTCCTTTGATACAATTAGTACCTCTCAAGTACTTCACTGAGGCTCTTTCTAGGGAGGTGACAAAAGACCAGAGAAGTTCTTTCATTTTTACAAATAGAGTGAAATTCTCAAAAGTTTTAAACAGTATTTTCAAGAATCTTCAATCTGAGTCAAAATGTTTAGTCCAGGTATGATCTGTCTATACACTGCAATTTTTGGTAACACTTTATTTGAAGGGGGTTGAATAAGACTGTCATGA